CTCTGTGTGATCATTCATTGGTTAGTATTACTATGTGACTATGTGGACTTGATAGGTAGAACCTATTTTTTTTTTCATTGTATTCTTTTAGATAACAATTTCTGGTTGTATAAGTGGCTTAGATTTCTACATCTTTGCCCACCTACTAAGGATGATGGGAAGGAGAAGGGCGGAGTCAGGAGATGCCAGGCAGATGCAAAGGGAGCAGGAGATGAACACGCCATGTTAACAAAGATACCACCACATGGCAGAGCATAAATAAAGAATATGGCTTAATTTAAAATGTAGGAGTTAGTTAGTAATAAGTCTGAGCTATTGTCAGAGCATTTATAATAAAAAAAAATTTGTACATCTTCTTTCTCATATTCCAACTGGCTGCCCCTCTCCCCTACTTGCTGACGTAACTTTGCCATTTTAGTAAGTGGTGACAGTTCTCCCTTAATCTTGACCTAAAACTTCAGTTACTCTTGATTTTTCTCACTGCATTGCTTACCTGCCCCTCTTGCCCTAGGTTTTGAGCCTTTCAGATGAGCTGAGGGACTGTAACCAGAGAACTTCTTACAGCCCTGCCCTCTCCAGCAAGCCTCTGATGGCTCCCAACACCCCTAAACTACTGGGCATACTGCAATCATACTCAACTATTTTAGCCCTTAAAACCATACTGGTCTAGGAAACAGTATCCCATAGGGGAGAGAGAGCACCATCCAGGGCCAGCAGCAGCATTTAACAGGGCAAAAATGAAGTTCTCACCTGACTTAGTCTATTGGAAGGAGGCAGTAGCCATGAGCAGGGGCTGGGAAGACTTACAGGGGAAGCAGGTGCATGCAAAGAAAAAGAGACCATGGTGGGAGGTTACAATGACCTCTGTGACCACGCCTCTAAGCGCAGAGACCCCAAGAAAGTGAAGGGGGCCGCTGACAGAGCTGTATCTTCAGGGGTTCGGGGATCTGCTGCTGTGCTGAGCACATGACAGACTAAGAAGATTCTGTGCAGGGAAATAAGAAGCCCCTACCAGATTTAATTTCCATTTCTACTTAGAAATGTCACATTATCTGGAGACTGGGGTGAAGGAGGTTGATCCAGAGTCCTCATGAGAAAGGAGTTTCCCTGCTGAAGAGTGTAACGAGGCTCCGTGGAAAGACGTGAAGAGACAGCTAATCAGCAACTGGTTACATCACAGATGAGGATAAGAGTGCCTAGCACAGTCTGTAGCCTTCCTGCATGGCACTCCACAGCTGCAGGGCCATTTACAGATGCACCAGGACGTTACATGGAGGATGTGCATATGTGTTGAAGCCTTGTGCATGACCATGACCAAGGGGAGAGGGGTGGCAGAGATATGGATGAGTTTCCTTCTTGTTTTATCATTTGCAGTGAGGGTGGAGAGGGGGTGCATGCTCCAAATCGCTTTTGACTAGAGTAATGTTCTCATAGAAGAATACAAACAGCATTGCACTGGTCCTGGAACACTAAATGAGAACTCAGAAGTAGATGCACAAATGTTAAATCTGTGTATGTGACCCAGCAGTGCACAGCCATGAGGAAAGAAGGGAAGTTTAGGCAACCTTTGCAGGAAGAGCAGCGATACTGTACCAACACATTCATTCTCATGCATGAATGCCGATTCTGGGCAGACTGGTGACCGAGTACCACACAATCATGAGAAGAAAATGCAAGCGAATAATGACCCTGCAGTATAAAATATTTACTAACCAAGACCTGTGGTGACATATTATTTATGATTTATTAAAACTTGCCTGAAGATTCAGAAAGCAAAATTAGCCATAAGCCATAGAAGCCAGGCACACACCTCTAATCCAGCAGCCAGAAGCTAGGAGGTGGTGGTACACACCTTTAATCCTAGGACTCAGGATTAAGAGGTAGTCGGATGCAAGGCCACCCAGGGATACACAAGATTGAAATAGATCACATCTCTTTAGCCCCAGCACTACAGGGGTATAAAAGATAGAAGCAGGGTTTTCAGTAGGCAGTAGAAGGCATTCATTCTCCAGCCACACTGAAGACAGGAGTGTTCATTCTCCAGCCATGCTGAGAAGTTACAGTATGAGCTTGGTGAGACCTCATAGAGATAGGACCAGCCCATTCAGTTTGAGGTAGAGGTAAGAAGCTAGTGGCCAGCTGGTTTGCTTTACTGAACTTCAGCTTGAAGTTTGAACCCCAATTTCAGTCTCTATTTTTTGTGTTATAAAGACCCAAGAGACACAAGCCAGGCAAAAGCAAAATAGAATGTACCCAGTTTATAGTAAGAGCAACAGGAACATGGAATTGATACAAGCTGGGAGAAAGATTTCCACCTGGAACTAACAAAAGAGGGCACCTGAACAAACCAAAAGTGAGGAAGAGAAGGACAAGCTCAGTCTTGCCAGGGAGGGGGCAAACACGTCACACAAGGAATATGCTGCTGGACCAAGTTAGGGACTGGGCACTGTCCCACCCAGTCAGGGAGGGCATAGGAAACTGCAGGATGTGTCAGCATCTATAAAATACTGTTTGACTTGGCAAGTACTTCTAGGAATCATGAGAAAAACTCTGACAAAGGTAAGAAAAGAACAGGCAAGGACACTTCCTGCAATACTGGCCCTAGCAGAAAGATTTGAACAATAATGTCCCATAACTGGAGTTATGTGTAGCCAACTGCAGCCAAACAGTGGAATCTGAGACTGAAATGGATACCGAGAGGGAACCATCATGACGAAGATAATCTGTGACAAAAGTCAAGATACTGAATAGAACATTATAAAGAGGAGTGGGCGAGAAGGATGAGACTGGAATCCACTAGGCTCAGAACACAGGCTATTACTGCGGGGAGGGGGGTAATAAAGAGCAGTTAGTGGCCACCTCCCTGCACAGCCCAGAGAACATTAATCTGGGTTTTAAGCAGGCATATTATGAACTACATTCTCAACAGTCTGCTGAGAGAATTTCATGCTTCCTAAGAAAACTAAAAGGGACAAAGTTGAAAGAATAACCAAATGGTAGTATATTTACATGAATGGATATACTATGCTGAAGGGAGCAGGGCAAGTCTGAATGTGTGTATTACAGAAACACTGGGGTTTCTTTCTGTAGTAGTAACAATTACTTTAAAAATTAATTGTCGTGCTGGACACCGAACTCTACAAATGCACATAGTTGCAATACACTGTGCAGTCTGTCACACACACAAGCATACACTCACTCAAACACACACACACACAGACACACACACATACATACACGCACACAGGCACGCATGCACGCTCGCACATACACACTTTTATTGCAGTGTTAGGACTTGAACTCTAGGCTTTGAGTATTCTAGATACTCGATCCACCACACAGCCACCCTCAACCCTGTAAATTATCATCTGTGGGGTGGCGAAGGAAGAGATGTTTAGGAGCTGTAGTCCACAAGTTAAATCTGACTCATCATTGGCTTTTCCTTTCTGCCCTCATCTGACTCGTCACCTTATACAAAAAGTCCGTCTGGAGCACAGCCACATCTATAACATGTTTTCCATGATATTTTACATCCACACATTACAAAGGCAGACTCCAGAGAGTTAAGGGGGAAAAAAATAGTTCCATGAAGTTGAGTGAAAAATTACTGTGGCAGTTAAGATAGTATGATATTTAGTTTGAAAACTACATGAAACACAATTTCTACAAGTATGTTCGGAGTATCTAGAGGGCTAAGCACCCAGAGTCACCATGCCAGGGGCGCTTCTGAGTAGTGGCGGTCAGGCAGGAGTTGGCAGGTCAGGCAGGGTTTGGTTCTCTGTATAGTGTGTCTGAGGGTGTGCTTTGTTTTAAGATAATATCCATGCATTAACTGACTACCTGAACTTATTCCTTATTAAGTGAGGGTGACAGAGCTGGAAGGCACAGGACTAGGTAAAATAAGCAAACATGAGTTATGATCTTAGTCTTAATTTTACCAAGTATGGGCAGAATTGGTTCTGACCCTCTTTTCCAAGGCCTTCTACTTAGATCCCCTTCATTAACTTCAGAACTGAGGTCTGCAAGTTAGAAGGTGAAATGACATGGAAGACAGCCATGAGTGGGCACAGGCTAGGGAACTTCTGGACTCCGTCCACAGCCAATGACTTGGGGCATATAATTCCCATTTTAGGACGCTTGGATTTAGCTTTCTCCTGGAATCAGCCTAGGCTCATAGCCTTAGCATTCATACAGTCACTAGTTCACATGACCTTCATGAGAGCTGTGGAAATTCTAACATTTTCTGTGCTTCAAAAGGCAGCAAGCCTGGCCAGTCTTTTAACAAGTACACATCCCATAGTACACTTTCAGAATAAAACAAAACCACTGCTGATGAGCAACCCAGGGCCCAGAATGGCCCAGACAAGCTGTTTTACACCCTAATACATAGGCTATGTAGATATAAGTGATATCTACAAACAGACACACCCCGCCTCCTGTCTTCAGGGAAAGAATGAAGTTGAAATTCACTGGAAAGGGGAGTCAATTGAGAGGATTAGTTCAAAGTCTTGTAGAAATAGATAAGCAGCCTTCTTCTAGAAAAGGCCAGAGCTCCAAAAGAACAAGATAAACCATCCAAGAAGGGAGGTAAATCCACAGTCTAAAGGGACAGGGAGAGCTGAGATGTTTAAAACGACCTGTGCTAGGCTTCTCTGCTTGAGCAATTTCCAAAAGGGGAAACCTGGGCAACTCCCCATGGTAGAAGCTACCACTTCTGCTTCTGAAACCCAAGTGCCTACCAGCCCTAATAAGGGCTCTTTGAAATAACCCGGGATAGCCTGACTCCATGTAGAAATTACACTTGCCCGGGTAAAGCCCATTCAGTAATCTGGTTTGAAACAAAATTTGGTGTTTTGTTCACAAAAATCTTTGCAAAGAGGAAAAAAAATAAGACACTGACCATTAATGCAAGTGAAGCATTAAAAACCTCATGCAAACATGTATGAGTGCATTTTCAACTCAACACCATCACTAGTTTCTCCTTGCATCTGGTAACTTACCTCCGTGTTCTAGAAACACCCGAACACATCTCTCCTTTCCTCTTGCAGCAGAGAAATGGAGCAAAGTCCAGCCATTAGCATCTCGGCCATTTGGGGAGTAGCCTTGCTCCAACATCTTTCGTACTGTGTGAACATCCCCGGCGGCTACTGCAGCCTGAATCTGCAATTCTTCCTGGAGCTCAGGGTTCCTCCGACAGTGGTGGTGTAACATCCTAGCAGAGTCCACTTTTCACCAACCAGTCATTAGGTCAAAGGAGTCAGCCTTTCAGGGAAGGTAGAACACATGAAATTTAGAATGTGTGGCTCTTCACACTGTACCCACTGAATACCACAGAACTGTCCACAGTACAGTAAGTAATGGCAGTTCACACTATTGGCTAACATGCATCTGCTAAGACCAAAACTTACAATAGTTGCATTAAGGTTATATTAATTAAAAGTGTAAGCCAGACATAAATCCCTGAATTAACAGAAAAATCTCTTCCCCTTGCTTCTGAAAATCTAAACCTACATTGGACCATCACAGCTCTATTTTAGGTGAAATGAGAGGTGGCATCGAGAAGCTAAGATGGCAGTACCAGAGGAGCCAGAGTAGTAACAGTCTTGGGAACTCAAGGCTGCACCTGATTTACATGATGCACCATCAAGATTTAACTCACGAACTACTTATCACAAGTCAGAGCCAATCTATATGGAGTACAGAAAACAGCCCATTATTCTGTGAAGGAAAAGGAAAGGCTTTCTTTAGGCTGAGTGTCTGAAGTAGTCCACAGTATCTGATCTTTAATGCAGGTAACAAAGCTTAGAGGAAGCAGGCTGAGCAAAGTAAGCTGGAGTAAAATAGATTATATTTATGCATGTATAGTATATATTATGTATGTACGTGTGTGTATGTATGTGTGTGTGTGTCTGTCTGTCTGTCTGTCTTTTTCTTGGTTTTTCCCATCTCAGGCTATGAGTTTGATATTTTGCTGTTTCCTTTGCTGTCATTTTCTTTTTTTTTTTTTTTTAATTTTTTTATTCATTTTACACCCTCCCTCCCCTCCTCCGGCCAACCCACACCCATACTGTCACATTCTTTTAAAACATTTTTTTTTTCCAATTTCCGTACCAGAAATTTTACTTCATAAATACTCAAAGGAGCATGGTGAATAACCTGTTGGTTAGCAACAAGATGAAATGACTTCAGTGGACAACAGTGCTGAGGATTCTCTAGCCTCTGCAGGTCATGGAGACATGTGTCTTCAAACCCAGCAGACAATGAGCTCATCCATGCACATAGGTAAAATGGTTACTTTTCATGCGGGGGGGGGGGGAGTCCGTCTGTGTGCTTTCAAGCATCGAAATGTACACAGAAACCTAGACCAACAAGTTCCTGGGAAGACATTCCAACTGGGCTGGTTTGAAAGAAGAAATTAGACTACATCTCCTGGTTACTAACTTTCATTTTTATAAGTAAATCTGTTTGAAAGAAAAACAATGTGACAAAGCCCTTTGAAAACATTCTGGTCTCATCTGTAGGTTGGACATCTTAGGATAATTTTGCTACCAATGAATTTTCTTTTAAAACTTCTCATCACAGACTCTACACAGGTAAAGTAAGCCTAGCTTGGTGGAACCAACACAGGTTAAGAGCACAAACAGATGATGTGCTTTTACACATAAAAAATGACATCATTACAGTCTCAGCAATATCACTAAGTGATGTAATTTCAAAGTATCAAGCTATTACCTCAAATAGCTGTTTCCTCAGAGAAAACTGAGAAATGGGAAATTTCTTGATAATTTGTTCTCTTAATAAACAAGTTTTCTTTTGTTTCTTCACTTCATTACCTGAAATTCAGTCTCTTGGCTTAGAAATTTAACAAAAATATAGGTTTCATATTAGTTTCAGTGCTATAAGAGACAATATTGAAGTGCATCAGAACAGATTAATGGAAGCTCTTACTGTCTACTCAGACCATTATCATTAAAGAACACTTTTGAAATTTTTATTTATTCTACTATTGGTTTTGAGTCTGCCTCGTTTAGCTCAGGTTCACCTCCCAACTTGCTATATAGCCTAGGCTGGCCTTGAGCTCCTGACCCTCTCATCTGCATCTCCCGAGCGTCGCAATTACAGGTGTGCTACCACACTAGCTCTGAGTGTGGGTATACGGTGTGGTATATGTGTATATGCATACACTTAGGGTGTCTTCCTCTATAGTTCTCTACCTCATTTTTTTTGAGCCAGGCTCCATCACTGAACCTTGACCCCACCATTTCTTCCAGACTGGCTGGCTATCTAGCCCCCAGGATCCTCCTTGTCTCTGCATTCTGGTGCTGGGGTTACAAGTGTCCATTTCCATGCTCAGCTTTTACACAAGTAAATGGAGATCCAAACTTTAAGATTAAGTTACCCACTAAGCCCCTTCCCCAGGACCCAAAGAGTGTTTTCAAATAGGAGATTATCTCAGCACTTGAAAGAGGTCTACTATGGAGGAAAAAGACTGAAACAACAAAATAAACTAGGTTTCTCTTTCAGTGCCTGCTGCACTGTGGATACATTGGTTTCTTTCTTTCTTTTTTTTGGTTTTTCAAGACAGGGTTTCTCTGTGTAGCTTTAGAGCCTATGCTGGCACTCACTCTAGAGACCAGGCTGGCCTCAAACTCTCACAGAGATCCGCCTGCCTCTGCCTCCCAAGTGCTGGGATTAAAGGTGTGTGCCACCAATGCCCAGCTCATTGGTTTCTTTTTTAAATCTCAATTTTACTCATTCATTTCTGTTCAACTCTATTCTATTCCTGCTGGAGACTGAATCCAGAGCCTTAGGCCTCTAAGCATATACTCTATTACTGAACTACAGCCCCAACCAACTCATCAGCAGTTTCCAAAGGGAAAAGTAAAAGTTAAGTGGTATTTTCCTCAAAACAGCATAGGAAACTGGTGGCCCTGAGTCATCTTACCTTACAGAAGAGTGACTCTTCTCTTGGTAGACAGGTTGCCTACAGACCATTGTGTACAAGCAGCATCATGGGGAAGGGGCTCCCAGTGTGTCCAGGCCTCAGGGCAAGAGTATTCTTCACCTAAAAACAAATCAAATAACAATCACAGAGGCTTTCCTAAACTAACAAAGAACCACAGCTGTCTGCATGGTCTACTTTTTGGCAACTTTAAGCTTCAGGAGTTTACAACAAATTGACAGAACTCAGAGAAGGTTTGGGAGAAAATGATCTTGCTGCTTACAACAATCTCCAAGATGCTATCAAATATGATTTATTTTTGGCATTCTGTGCCCTTCCTCCCACCCCATTCCCCAGCTTCTAGAAAAAGAGTAAATAAGGAAAACAACAAATCACACATTTAGAATTTAGATAAAAGCTGAGATTTCTTATTTTTTCTACTGAGAATGTATCTTCAGGCCTGCTCCCTTTGAATTACTTTTTAAGGACACCATCAGTCACCTGCTCTTTTTCAACAGGACTGAAAGAAAAAAAAAAATGTGTGCATTCAATACAGCAGCTGCCTAGGGCCAAATGTAAACTATGATAAGTAAAAGGAGATTAGGCCTTTGAGCGGTGGCTCTTCACATGCCTTACAGGCATCCAGTCAATAACATTTACATGCACACAACAAGCCACTTAAAACACTAACTAGCCAGACTTGTTGCTAGCTTCTCTACATTTGTTCTTAAGAAACAAAACAATAAAAACCCAACCCAACCTCTTTCTCTCGCTACAATGAAAAGAAAAGGACTCTTTCCCCATTCCCAGTGAACCCTGTTCTGTACATTCCATTCAGGTTAAGGACAACAGAGACCCTCCACAACATCACAAGATCACTCTAGGAATTAGCCCACTGGGAGTCCTGCCACCCCTTCTGGTGTGTGTGTAGGAGGGGGGAGCTGTGCCTTTATCACTTAAACTTTCAGACATGGAGAGGGACAGGCCACCTGCCAACCTGACATATGCAGGGAAGAGTGGCAGTTGTATAGGCTTGCTGGCTGTGCAAGGGGACATTCAACTCAAATTAGAATCATTCATGTTCTCCTTTTGTTCTCTTCATGTTTTCTTTTCCCTTGCCTTGTCTTTAAGGACAGCAAAAAGTTTGTACGAACATGAAACTAAACTTGGAGTGCAAACTGTCCCTATTATTTCCCAATAAATGAAGTAGACATGGTCAGAACAACTCCTTCAAAGCAAAGTATAAATACCACGGAACAATCCTTGCAGAAATGGACAAAGACTGAGGCAGGAAGTCTACAAGGTGAGCCTGGAGCATCTTACAGTACCTGAGGGCAAGGAAGTGCTCAAAACCACAGTAAAGCCACCACCACAGGGACAAAGGAGCCACCATCAGGGCTCCTTTGCAGAGAGCACTGATCACTTTTCACTCTGATGGCATCTACATGTCAAGAATGAACAACATCAGTTGTGTATCCAGCACTAAGCCACCAGGTTCCAGGGGATTGTTACAAACCTGGCTGGGGTCACACAGGCAATCCTGGTTAAAATCAAGGTGGGGGAAGAAACTGACAGGCAGGAGGTGGTAGGGATAGGAGAGGTGGGTGATAAGAGTAAGCAGAAGGCAATATATACAGGTATGAAACTGCCAAAGAACAAACTTAATTTCTAAAAATGAATACCAAAAAGAATGAATGTTATCAAACACCTTACTTCTAAGTGTGTCTTCAGTATTCTCTGTCTCCCTAGAGACATGAAAAATGCCCCAATGTGGATTCAAGCTTTAAGAGTCCTTGCCAATTTTCACAGGCCTCCAAATGTCCATCACCATTTTCAGAGACAGCTGGACATGACAGAGAGGAACCACGGGAGGTAGGTATTGAAGAAAGCATGAAATAGAATTTCTTTCTAATATCAGGAAAACATTGGGTATTAAAAGATAAAGGGATCAAATTATTTCTCCCTGCACCAAAAGATAATAATTCCTTGTATGTGACTTTAATGGGACAAATAGATGGCCACCAAGTGCCTGATGTGTGCTCAGTACAGCTCAAGACCTCCTAAAATAGTCCTGTACATTTAAAATGACATTTTAAAAATATTTGTGTGTGTGTGTGTGTGTGTGTGTGTGTGTGTGTGTGTGTGTATGTGTGTGTGTGTCTGCATATAAGTATGTGTACCACATGCATGCCTGGTGCTTGAGGAAACCAGAAGAAAGCCTCAGATCCCCTGAAACTGAAGTTCTGAGTAACTCTGTGGGTGTTAGGAACTGAAACTGTGTCCTCTGTAAGACAAGAATTCTTAACTGCCAAGACATTTCTCCAAGGGGCCCTTAAAATGACAGCTTTAAAGACATTAGATAATTTCGGATTTTTTGTTTTTCTTAGTCACTCCTTACATGCATGTGCTGCGTCACAGGGGAGAATACATACATGTGGTGTACCATGTACACATGATCTCTATTGTTTGCACCATTGTGAATTATAAAGAGCAATGATTTATTATCAAAGTAGCCTGAAAGTCCAACATATCAGACCAGTAATTACTTTTCTCTTGGTGTTACTTTATGGGCACTCAGGTATGTATAAATAAAGGGGGGAAAGCACCATGGACCTTAAGAACAAATACAACTTCAGCAGCAAAGGTGCCCATAAAACAGGCATCAAAAGAAGCCACGGGTGGGAATGGAAAAGCCTAGTTTCCTGCAGGGAATAACAAGTTCAAAATTCTGGTGCTCAAGAAACCACCTATAAAACAGGACTTGTGACAAAGGAGCAATTTTCTAAATAATACACATTCAATGGAAGGATCTCTTAAATGAATCCAGCAACCATTGACACCAGCCCCACCTCTAGAAATCACATTCTGGGTTCCAGCCAGAAAAAAAAAGGAAATAATAAACAAATATGGAAGACTTTGGAAGTGTCAAATGAATCATTTTCCCAGTAGTATCATTTTTAGAAGTCTTACTACTTAATGTTAATACTATGTTTACATTTTGCTAAATCATCAGTTGTAATGAAGTCAACAGATAACAAACAACCTAGGTTTACAAGTTTTTATACAGTTGACCACATTGAAGGCTACAAATTTTTTACTGCCTAATTTCTTTACAGGTGGACAAATGAAATCCATTCAGTTAAGATCAAAATCTCCTCACATGGTTAAAAGAAAATCTATACTGAGATAACAGACTGAAGTAGAATATACTCATAAACAAGGTATGTTTGAAATTTGCACACAGCCTTCAACAAATCTGACATCTCTACAATTTCCTTTGGCACAAGACTAGCTACTAATGACTTCTGTGTATTATTATCTTCCATGATTTTTTTTGTTTTGTTGACTTGAGACACCAGGCCTCCCAGGTAGTACAAACTGGTTGGCAACCTGGGATCCTCCTGCCTCAGCCTCCCAAGTGTTAGGATTGCAGGCCTGCTTCCTGCTTCTGCAACTTTTCATGAAGTGACACAAATGGTAACTCAGTTTCCTGATCTCAAACCAAAGAGAAATAAGTTCCTGACTCAAGAAAGAACAAGTGTGTTTCTTTGCAGAGTAAACTAAGATATGGAAAGAAAACCAGCAACCTTGAAGATATTGGCTTTGAGGACAAAACCTAAAAATCCACCAATGGTTCACAAGACCTCAGAGGGAAGCCAGATACAGAAATATACTCTGTCCAATCAAAGTACACAACATGGCCAATGGGCAGGCTGCCGAGCTCCACTTATACAATCAAAAGCCTGAACCCAAAATAAAGCAGGTGTTATTTTAGTATCACTCAACATACCATAGTGTTTATGTCCCTAAAGAAGGATATCACATTTCCTCCAAGACTGGACCTCTGTGTGACACCAAGATTTATTATCATGTACAACTTACCTATGACTCACATAATTTCTAGGAGAAAGTACAATGATTTTCACAGAATGCAGATGAGGTGATAGAGAAAAGTTTAGAATAATTTATCCAGACCCAACTCAAAGCTTAAATCACGGGTATTAGAAATGCTTTGTCAATAATGTCCTATTAATGCAGGCATGCCAAGTCAAATTTAGCAGCCTTAAGCCATCACCTTAGAAGTTTGCCAGAACAATACACTGAGGGAAGACTGAAGGTCAGCTATCAGATATACAGAGTATAGCTGACTTTATTTACCCATTTTAAGAATGGACTCACTAAGGCTAAATGTGAACAAAGACTACACACACACACTAAATGTCAACCAACTAAAGACTACACACACTAAATGTGAATACACTGAAGACTATACCCATACACATGAACAAATTAAGACATTATATATTTACTTTATATATAATTTACACATGTAATCTAATAGAATTAACTGTGAATGACATCATTTTAGGCATAAAAGACAGAAGTGGCCATAACTAAACAAGTAGCATCAATTATTCTCCTTTTATGATATAAATCTGTATTTGATTACCAAATAATCAGATTAGCACCCCCTCCCCACCATGTCACTCACAATAAAATTAATACAAGTTGACTGCCATATACAGAAATACAAACTAGCTGGCCATGTTAAGTAAATGTCCAAATTAAATAAATTTTAAATGTTTGACATAACCTAGACCAAACATTCTCAACTATGCTAATTATTACAACACCCCCCCCCCAACCCCCACCCCCGTGTATGGGGGTGTATCCCTTAATCTGAGGAAAACCATTGCCAGCTGAGCAGATCCATGCACTATGGTTTAACCAGCAATAATGGCCTGGCTGAAAACCGGGACAGAGCAATGTCCACCTTTACAAGTGTGACTAGTGCTCCTCATTTATAATCTCAGGTCAACATATCCCTCACTTAAGAACCCCAGCAAATACATACTAAGGTTAACTCTAAAGAGAAAAGTACTATCACACCCCCACTGAGGAGGCTAGACTACAAAAATACATACTGCATTTTAACTTTGAAACATACTTCAAATATTTTATTACCATTTTTTTAAAAAGATATAAAGTACTCAAAGGCAACACACTGCTGAGTTTCATATTTAATTGCAGAACCTCTCCAGCCCTTAGTTCTGTATTTAAATAATATCAACTACCCTTTAACTTGAGAGACCTTTCGTGTATATACACACACACACACACACACACACACACACACACACACACGTTAATGTTACCCTAAATTTTCTCCATAGTACAGTCACTGATAAACATTAGTTTTTTTTTTCTCTCTCTCTCTCTATTTCTTTCACTCAGTTCTTTAAAACTGGGTCTCACTCTGCAGCCAGCCCAGTCTGGCTTCAAATTCTCCATCCTCTGGCCTCTGCCTTAAAAGAATAGTAATCACAGCCAGGCAGTGGTGGTGGTGCACACCTTTAATCCCGACACTCTAATCTCATCACTCAGGAGGTACAGGTAGGCAGATCTCTGAGTTCTGGGATAGCCTGGTCTACAGAGTGAATTCCAGAACAGCCAGACCTACACAGAGAAACTCTACCTTGAAAAACATACAAACAAAAAAAAGTATAGCAATTACAGAGAGGGCCCCCATCACACATAGCTAACACACACTACTTTTAAATTCCATTCAGAACATAGTCTTTTTTTGGCACCTAGCTTCAAGTCTTAAAAATATGCAAGCCCTCGGAGTCCCTTAAAATTATCTTTATGTCTTAAGTATCAGTAGAACCAAAAGGCATTATTTTTTTGTATGTGTTCAAGACAAGAAATCTAAAGGAACAAAGTAAAAAGTGTACCATTTAAAATATTTTTGTACTGAAAATTTTTAAAACATTTGAGTTACTAAAACAAATGAGCACTTTTTATTTATGATAACAACTATTATAAGGTTATTCATTAGGTAGTCTCTGTGTTGTCCTTTGTATAATTTCTTCTCTATATGGTTGGTTTAGAACATTATATTAATGTTCTAAACTTACCTTTAGGGCATTTTCGGAGACAGCAACAAAATAGGCAGCAGAAATCTAACCACATAAACTAGTTGCTAATATTTCAATCTAGCAAATTCTCTGTAAGAGTTTTAAAATGAGAAAACAAGAATGACCACTGCCAAAAGCCAAGCCCCAGATAGCTAAACATACCAAAACATTACTTTGTTTTATAATGCCTGACTGTGCCACTATTATCAAGAAGATACAAAGTAAATTTTCGTAAGTTCACCTAGAACAACACAGATGTAACTAACATTATGTATCATTTTGTAACAACTCTAGTGTCCATCCATTTTGCCACATACAAAAAACCCAAAGAGTAAACTATATACTTTGTTTCAGGGGCTAATATTGCTTTTATACAGTTCCCATTCTTAAACTATTCATGTTCGCTTTTTCCAGAAAAACCAAATCAAATTATTTTCTTCAAAACCAGTAAGTTTCAGTCCTCCAGTTCACCTTTTGCTACTAAGCCATTATCAGTTAGGTAACTCTGAATGATGCTTTCATGATGGAGGTAGAGAGAAAACCGTACATGGGGAAAACAGTAAATTGTGGTTTAATTAAAAGCAACATCATTCAGAATTAACAAGCAATTAACATGGAATTGAGGAATTCCTATGAGAGTGAGGAAGGCGGGGAGCTACAAAAAGGTCTCAAAGCCTCAGAGCAGAGTAAATGACACGGTGTACCCAAAGATAATGCAAAACACGGAAACATTCTGAACGAGAACCAGAAGATGTTTCTGGAGTAGAGAAGTTATTGAGATGTTAAGGATCGGGCATGGACAGTGTGTCTCTTTTTGCTAGGAAACTAGGGTCTAGGACAGCTTGCAATCCCAGGCAACCACCCAGAAAATAAAGCATTGCTTAATGAGGTAGGGGCCAGGAATAAACAATGGGGGATGGGGAGGTCTGGTCTTTACCTTTAGAGAGGATGCTGGTCCAAAGCACTCTCCCTATTGCTTCTCTAGCGGGTGGGCAGACCCCTTCTGCTCGCGCGTGTCCTCCAGCCAGCTCAAACCTGGGAAACAGAAACCCATGAGTGGTGCAGTAATCCAGGGGCGAGGAGAGAACTCTGAGGATGGGGGAGCTAAGAAAGGCTGGAGAGTGGCAAGGGCAGGCAGGCGAAAGCAGGGCTTCTCCTTCCTCCCACACCCAGCCAGCCCCTTCCCCTCGGGGGACAGGTAACTGACTTTACCTGTCTCCTCAGCTGCAGCTCCTCTCCCTCCTTCCAGCCTCCTCCACATTCACCAACTTCTCCATTGAAGAAACACCCCAGGCAGGGCCGGACACCGTGTTCCTGCTCCTCCTCGGTGCTTCACGGCCCCAGCCCAGAGAGCATCCAGATAGCCGAGCAAGCTGGAGGTGGCGGTCTTGGCCTTGGAGCAGCCTCCGGGAAGGGGTTCAGGGAGGAAGTGCC